GGGGGGGGGGGGGATCGACAATCCCATTTTCGAAGATTGCATTTGGTTTTTTGGGAATGTAAATATTTCCTAAAGTGGCATCTTTTGTGTGTCTGACTTGGGCAGATGCCTTTTTCAGCCCAATACGTTTTGCTTGTGGGGCTTCACTTGTTTTGACACGGCCCCCTTGTGAAGATGGGCCTTTATCGGAGTTGGGCCTTAAAGACTTTGAGTCTTGTTGGATCTCTGTAGCCCCCTGTAGGACCCAAATGTTCCCCTAGATTCAGATGTTCATGCGCTTTAGGGTTGCCTCTGCCACTAGTGGTGGCATTGAGGTAACAGGAACGTACCTGTATCTTCACTGTACCGCCTTACCTGGATCACGGACTGCTCCGGCTTGTCTTTGCTAGTTGCCACCAAAGCTTGGCAGTACTTACTAGGTACTTGGCGACATCAGTCACCTTCTTGATTCCAATCCATCACCAACCGCAAAATATTAATTGACGTAAAGAAAATGAGTTTCAATGACTTTGGCATTTCGACCACCGTTGTAGGATTTTAGTTCAAGTACCTTAATTTTCTACTGCATTGATGCGAGGTTTAGAGCACCTCTTCCAAGATTGCCTCTCCTCTGAGCAAGCCTTGTGGTGCATTAGATTGACAATAGTTTGTCAATAGCTATCTTAGCTACATCCTTTGCTACTGTTGCAAGGCCTCTAATTCAAAGATCTCCACTGCATCATTGTATGCAGTAATGCGGTTTCTCTCGGAGTCATCACTTAACGAATACAAGTTAGATTTAGCTTAGGTGCTGTGCATGTGAGGTGCCTCAGTTCCTCAGCTACTTGCACACTTGCAATGTGATTTGCTTGATATTTCTAGCCACCTGTCATGATAAGAAGTGGTGAGCGTTACAATGTATCCCTGTTCGAGTGTCGAGCTATTGCCCTTGTATCAATTGTCACACCACATGTTCTCAAGGTGTCTTAGAAGGCTGACGTAAGACAAGGGAACAAATTTTGTGTGATTGTTTTATTCCAGTTGTCGAACTCTTCTTTTTGGCGAAGGCCCTTGGCCTTAAAGGGTGTTATTTCAAACTTATCGAAATAGTAATTTGTCGTCGTTCGATCGAGGTCGAACTCTTCTTTTTGGCGAAGGCCCTTGGCCTTAAAGGGTGTTATTTCAAACTTATCGAAATAGTAATTTGTCGTCGTTCGATCGAGGTCGAACTCTTCTTTTTGGCGAAGATCCTTGGCCTTAAAGGGTGTTATTTCGAACTTATCGAAATACCAGGATGACTTAGTTAGCTATATCTAGTAGTGTCGGAGAGATAAATGAGTCTTCCAACCAACCTCTAATATCTCTCCTTATCAACAGATTCTCCAACTCCTGTTTGTAACTTGTGATTGCTTTCAATAGGCGATTTTGCTGGTTTGCATCCTGTCATACCAGTTTCTTTCAAGAGATCTAAAATATACTTTCTTTGAGAAAGAAAGATTCCCATTTTCGATCTGGCAACCTCAATTCCCAAGAAGTACTGCAATTTTCCAAGATCCTTGATCTCGAATTCCGATGCCAACAACTTCTTCAATCGAACAATCTCTTCTTTGTCATCTCCTGCCATTACTATATCATCAACATAAACTATGAGAAGAGTGACTTTACCGCTTTGATGTCTTATGAATAGAGTATGATCGACATTGCTCTGTTGGTAACCAAAAGAGATCATTACTTTGCAAAATCTGTCAAACCAAGCTCTAGGGGATTGCTTCAATCCGTACAAAGTTTTCTTCAATCTGCACACCTTTTCTTGACTCTGTTCAGTATCAAATGTAGGAGCAATCTTCATATTCACTTTTTCTTCCAAGTCTCCACGGAGAAAAGCATTCTTCACATCAAATTGTTGTAAGTCCAAATCAAGATTAGTTGCACAAGATAAGAGAATTCTAATAGTGTTCTTTTTAGCAATAGGGGTAAATGTTTCTTGATAGTCAACTCCATAAGTTTGAGTGAATCCTTTGGCCACCAATCTTCATTGAATCTTTCAACCGAGCTATCAGCTTTGTGCTTCACAGTGAAAACCCATTTGCAGCCAACCAACTTCTTGTCTGGGGTTGATGTGACAAGCGGGCCTTTATTTCTTCAATCAAAGCTTGCTTCCATTTAGGATCTGCAAAAGCTTCCCTCCAATTCAAGGAAATAGACAATGTAAAGGCTCTATAGGACAGAGACAAAATTATAGGAGACAAGATTGGATAAGGGGTGTTTAGTGGTTCAAGATCTGGCTGCAATTCTGTGAGCAATAAGCAAATTTAACTCATTAGGAGTTGTAGATAGCTCACCAATAGAAGAGGGTTCCGTAGAAGATGATTCGGCTTTAGTAGATTGCATGATGGCTTCTTCTGCTCTGTTTTTCCTTGAGTAAGTCATGAAATCAGTCTATCCAAACGCCTAATAGTCTCCCCCTAAATTCTTTCTTCAATTTCACTTTTCTTTGTGGTAGTGTATCAATAGTGGCGCCAGGGAGAATAACCTCTTCCTCCTTATAGCTCTCCCCCTGAAGAGGTAATGGTGTAATACTGAAATAGGGCTCACACTCTTGAAACGTAACATCCATGCTGACAAAGGATCTCCTAAAGGGAGGATGATAGCATTTGTACCCTTTTTGTGTTGGAGAATACCCGATAAAGACACATTTAAGAGCTTTAGGATCAAGTTTCCCAGAGTTTCTAGTGCGAACAAGAAGAGACACTCAAACACCTTCGGAGGAACAACATAGTCATTTTTACCTTTTAAAGCTTCTAAAGGACTGAAAATTGAGGGTTTTAAGCGGCATTGTGTTGATGAGATAGCACCTACTAAAATGGCATCCCCAGTAAGATTTGGTAGATTCATGGTAAACATAAGAGATCTTGCCACTTCTAACAAATGCCTTTTCTTCCTCTCAGCAACCCTATTTTGTGCTCTAGTATAAGGACAACTTGGTTGGTGGATAATCCCATAAGACTCTGGATAAGCACGAAATTTTCTATCCATGTATTCTGTGCCATTGTCAGTTTGTAAGATTTTATCTTGGTCTCAAATTGAGTACAAATCATCTTATGAAACGACTGAAAATAGGAGAAAACTTCACTTTTGGCCTTTAACAAATATACCCAAGCCATCCTAGTACAACAATAAAAAAAGTAACAAACCATCGACTACCAGACAAAGAAATTGTTTGAGGAGGACCCCAGACATCAGAATGAATAGTCGAAAAAGGAGTTGTACTTTTATTATCACTTAAAGGATGAGAGTTTCTAGTATGCTTGGCAAATTCACAAGCATCACGCAATAAGGATTCGAACTCAGTTCTAGAAAATAAGTTAGGATATAATTTCTTCAAAGCAAAAAATGATGGGTGCCCCAACCGTATATGCCACTGTATTATTTTTTGGTTGACTCCTTATTTCCTCCAAAAATGTCCTGACCAAAGTTTTGAGTTCCATCAATCCAATATAAGTCATCATGCAATCTACCACTACCAATCCTCTTCCTTGTTTGAAGATCCTGAAAAACACAATGATCAGGGAAGAACTCAGCACTGCAATTTAGTTTTTTGGTGATGGCACTAACAGATAACTGGTTAACAGGAAACTCAGGTACATGAAGAATCGATGATAATGTAATATGGAGTACAAACAACTTAACCTGTTTCAGAGACGGGAGTTAGGGAACCATTGGCTATTTTGACATAATCCCCTTTGGGACTAGGAGAGTAATTTTGAAAGCCTTTAGAAGAGCATGTCATGTGTCTATTCGCACCAGAATCAATAATCCAAGAATTAAGGTGAACATTAAAGGCAATACTTGACTGCGCATAGTTGGAACTGGCAATAATAGAATGGTCAAATTTGTTCAGGACGACGACGAAGATTCTGAACTTCGTCTGAAGACAAAGATTCACCGAAGGTAGTTTCTCTAGATGTTTCCACATTTTCTGCAATATTAACATAACCCTTGATGGACCTGCACGCTTTCCTCCACGACCTCTAGTTGGTCTACCGTGTAGTTTCCAGCATGTCTCTTTTGTGTGCTTTGGCTTTTCACAATAATCACAATGCATGTGATCTTTATCAGGAGTGATTGCCTTTGGTTCCTCATGAGACACAGTTAACCCGGATTTTCCGTTGGTGCTGAATAAAGCATGACCCCTCGTCTACTCTCTTCTTGTTGAACATAAGAGTATGCATCCTCCAGAGAAGGAAAAGGAACTTTACCGAGAACTTGAACCCTGATTTGATCATATTTTTGGTTCAAACCGGCCAGAAAATCATAGACCCTTTCCTTTTCAATTAATTGTTGAAAGAGAACTGCATCATTAGAACACTTTGCTTGGAGATCCTGATAGTAGTCAATCTCCTGCCGTAACCCACTTAACTTGGAACAATAATCAGTGACAGTCAACTCACCTTGCGTAGTCACAGGGATTTTATTTCGAATCTCAAAGATTTGGGCATCATTTCCCTTGCGAGAGTAACTTGGCCTAGCCAAATTCCAGATCTTTTTCGCAGTACTAAGTAATAATATTGCTTAGTGATTCGAGGGTGCATAGTGTTCAACAACCATGTCATAACAAGGGAATTATCAGAATCCCATTGACTATTGTTAGGGTCAGTCACAGCAGGTGCTTTCTTTTCTCCAGTAATATAACCAAGCAACTTTCTAGACTAAATAAAAAGTAGACAAGATCTTGACCAAGCAAGATATGTACTAGCCCCATCCAATTTAACAACACTAATTTGAGACATAAAATTATTATCTGTTTTTGTATCACCCATAGTTTGAACAAATTATAATTCTTATTGTCAAAAAACCGAGATCCCTTCGATGGATGTCACCGTGCTTGTCTCTTCTCAACTGGATTTAGCTTCTATTTAAGACTTTTTAAATATTGAATCTAACTACAAGCATCGGTCCCGGCAAAGACCCCTCTTTCGAATAGGGATATTCAGAAATACAGAAATAACTATCTCTGCCTGATCTCGCCGGAAAACTCACCGGAAAGCCACACTCCTCGCCGGAAAAGTAGCTTCCACACCAGAACTCGTAAGGAGTTTGTGTTGCAGACAACCATCAAGAGAGAAAACTCAACCTCTTTGATAACACAGAACTCTAGTGCTGCGAAGGTGATAACTCACGTCGAAAAAGGCATCAATAGCTCTGATACCATGTGGATTTCAAGGAGAGAATGAAACTTCTTGTATTTCAGTATGTTTTTACATCCAATGAGAACTAATAATTATACAGAGGTTCCTATGACTAATCTAGGAAAGGAAATCAATTATAGTTATTACACAAATTAATTAGAATAAACTCTTTTAGAATATAATTAAATCTCCTAAAATTAAGCTTCCTACAATCAAGCTAGCCAACATAATCAAATCTTGTAAAATTAAGTTTCTAAAATCAAGCTAGTCAACAGAAACCCAACCTGGTACTAGGAAAGAGTGACACCAATACAAAATTTGAATGATTGTTGAAACTCTGAGTATTAGACCCCTCCTTTATATATGTTTTGAAAACTAAATGCAAGTTACATGAAATTACATAAATAAGCTAGACATAATGTAAATACATGAAGTAAAGCTAATTTATATTTACATTTCAACTCAAGTGTATAGTGAGAAAAGGAGATGACTTGCAAACAACCACCCATTGGGTGGTGGGTATTAAAAGGTGATAACCAGTTAGCATTTCAAGAAAAACTTTAAGCAAAGGTAGCCTAGCCTCAACCACAAGAATCTTGGTGGTGGAATGATGAGGTACAAAGATTTATTAAGGCTAAAAGACAATATTATAGAAAGTTGCCAACAACAGATGCCGAAGAAGCCTTAGAAGAACATAAGAGAACTAGGAGGGAAGCTAAGAAGGCTATTAGTAAAGCTCGAGAATAAGCTCTAGATAGCTTGTACCAAAAGCTAAGGACACCGAGAAGGGGAGAAAGAAATGTTTAAACTAGCACGACTGAGAGAGAAGAAGGGTAAGGATTTAAACCAGGTGAAGTATATTAAAGTCGATTCTCAATAAGTGATGACAAAAGAAGATTAAAGGAGAGATTGAGAGGCAAATCTAATCTATTATTCAACTCAAACCAAGAGAATAACATTTTAGACCTCCACACGTCTGTGTACTATAAAAGCTTTAGCTACACTCATAGAATTAGGTCGACGGTGTTAAAGGGTGCCATGAAAAATATGAGTATTAAAAAAAACTTGTGGTCTGATAGTATCTCTATAGAGGTTTGGAAGTGTCTTGGAGAGATTGGAGTAAAATGGCTCACCAAGCTATTCAATGCTATAATAAGAAGCGGTAGGATGCCCAATGAGTGGTGAATAGTTCCTTGGTTCCAATTTATAAGAACAAAGGAGATATTCAAAATTTTGCAAGCTTTTGTGGTATTAAGCTCATGAGTCCTACGATGAAACTTTAGGAAAGAGCAATACAACATAAACTTAGGAATGAGGTAACCCACACAATGCAAAATGAGGTCTCATGGTTTCTGCTATTTGCTAATGATATTGTATTAATCAACGAAACTAGCTAGTGAGGGTAGCAACCAAAAGCTTGAATTATGGAGACACATCTTAAAGAGTAAGGGTTTTGGGATAAGTAGAAGCAAGATTGAATATATGCACTCTACGTTTAGTCAACATGAGAAGAGCGAAATGAGGTGAGACTAGAGATTACCGTACCAAAATGCAAACAATTTAGGTGTCTTGGCTCGTTGTTTCAAGAGAATGGATTAATAGATGAAAATGTTACTCATTATTAAAACCCAATGGTTGAAATGAAGAAGTGTTACTGGGGTATTATGTGATAGAAAGATATCTACCAAAGTGAAAGGTAAATTCTATAGAACAATTATAAGACTGAGAATGTTAAATGGTGGTGAATGTTAGGCAACTAATGTCCAACATATATACAAGATGAGTGTTGCAGAGATGTGGATGCGAGGATAGATGTGCCATCATACAAGATTTGATAAGATAAAAAATGATCAAATTTGCCATGGTGTGCTAGTAGCACGCATTGAGGATAAAATGAGAGAAGGTTGCTTGAGATGCTTTGATCATGTCTTGTGTCTCTCAACAGGCGCACTAGTCTGTAGGTGTGAAACTATGATAAATGAAGGTGTTAGAAGAGGACAAGGTAGACCTATAATCACATGGAATTAAGTTATCTTGGAAGACCTACAAATTTTGAATCAATGCAGACTTAGTTAAAGATATGGCATAATAAAAGAACAAGNATATATATAAAAGCTTTCAATTTGTTAGGAATAGGTTTTCAATTTGTTAGAGAACTTATATGTATATATTATTACTCAATGCTATTATTTTATTTTTGTATGATGATGATATGAATGGAGCTTATAAAGAAAAAAGTGAGGATTCGTTCCGCCGACCTCAACTTTTTTTGGGGCTAAGGTGAAATTGTTGTTTGTTATGTATAGGAAAAATAAAGTTAGTGGGAAACAAATACATTGGGGTCTCTCTTGTAGCAGGTATGCAACCTTTCAAGAATCAACTAGTAGTACTGAGAACACAATTCATTTCCACATGCATATAGACTACTTTATTTCTAATATACTGCGTAATGAAAAAAATCAGTGGCGTATTAGCCATAGAAGGACCTCCAAGTGTAGTGGTGGCATCCATTCTTTTCAGCTGAAAAATGGAATTAGCGCACTAAAATTTTGTTGGTGTTTTCTTTTGGTTTTTAGTTTCAATGTTATAGAACCAAATTCTTCTAGTTTTCTTTGGTTCCTTCAGTTTTATTTCAAATATTTAAATAGACTTTTGTTGTTTGTTTAATGTTAACCGTACCATATAATCAGAATGCTACCCCTCTATGAAGAACAAAGCTTCCAAAATGTTATTATATTTGTGTTGGGTCAATTGTATCCAACCACACATATTTCATGTTTTAGGTACATTTTCCAACAATTTCTGGATGCGTGTATTGTATTTCTATTTTCTTTGTCTGATCAGTGAACATTTATGTCATGTTCAAATACGACTTTCTTTTCCCATTCGAATTTTAAACTTCATAGAGGAGTGTTAAGTATGAAAGAACAAATTCAAATAAAAGAGATGCATATTTTAATTATGTTGTTAGGAAGTGCTTATGGGACCGGCTCATTAGGATCAAAATGCTTGTAGCAGGCTGGTGGTTATATTTCAGAGATGCATATTTTAATTGTGTAGTTAGGAAGTGCTTATGGGACCAGCTCATTAGGATCAAAATGCTTGTAGCAGGCTGGTGGTTATATTTCAGAGATGCATATTTTAATTGTGTAGTTAGGAAGTGCTTATGGGACCAGCTCATTAGGATCAAAATGCTTATAGCAGGCTGGTGGTATTGACTGTCTTTAGAGGTGGCTTCTGAATGCTTAGGGCGCAATAGTTGCAGCATATACACCTGTTATAAAGTCCTTTCACCATATTCCTCTTTAACACTGTTATGTTGTTGATCTGGAAGATTGTCACTTGCATGTAAGACTGATGATTTCTTTGATCAAGCAGACCAATCTTCAGAAGCTGGATTTGTTGTTTCGATGCAGCGTGGAATCTGCCATCTGGATATCTCGTCATGCCATTTTAAAGGCTGTATTTTGTGACCTTGCTTTTAATTGAAGTCTATCTTCAGCTGGAGTGGGAGTTGCACCGGGAAATTGAAGAATGGGTGATAAATTGTAGTGATACAGCAAGACCACGTAGATGGTGAAATACTCTTCGATGGTTAAGAGTGGAGTTTCAAAAACTTACTTGTAAGAGGTTTTAAGTTTTTCAATTTTTTGATTTTTCACAAAGTGCATAAAACTGAAAGAGCACAGGTGATCTTAGAATCTTAGATATGACTTCACTGGGTGTGCTTTGTACTTTTATTGGAAATATTGAAGGAGTATCTTGACACAGTCAATGATCTTATTGAATTTTCCACCAAGTTTCAGCACAATTATTTTTATGTTGGCTGTTGATATTGCCAATTATTTTTAAAGATAAGTTCTACAGAGCGGTGATTAGACCGACTATGCTGTATGAGACAGAGTATTGTCCAGTCAAGAATTCCCATGTCTAGAAGATGAAGGTGATAGAAATGAGAATGTTGAAATTTGGAATCTTGATATTCAAATTGAAATGGGAGAAGTAGCGTATTTCTGAGCTTGTTCCCTTTTTTGACTTCTCTATTTTGTTCAAATATGGTCTAATCTTTCCCTAGGTGCAATTTTAGTTTGGCCCTAAAGCTCCATCTTGTTAAAGTAATTTTATTTTCTGTGTCACTTGTCAAGTTTCTAAAAGGTGTATTACTTACTGTCATTTGGACAAATAAACACATAACAACCAGACTTCCTTTTGTTATATTATTCCCAAAAACTTTAGTTGCTGCATTCCCTGTTATCTAAATTTTACTTGGTTTTTGATTTGCTCTTTCCACATATTTATATCTTTATCCTTGTTCTGATTGCGATCAAACCTCATATGCAGTCTCAAGAATGTCCATTTTTAAAGCCATAGGATACGAAATCTGAACCAAATCACTGGAGCATGGTGCCTCAAATCTCTTCATATGGTCAGGTGAAGTATCACACTATTGTATCATCTATTCATCTATTGAACTCTTGTTCTGAAATGTGGTTTTGATAAATTATATAAATTGATTAGACATACATGTTATATTGAGAATTGTCTATAAGTGTTTCACATAAAAAATTTCACTAAATACATATAAAAAGTATAAAATACGGAGATTGGGATGTAAGATAGGTTTTCCATGCATTCACTTAATCTTATTTCCTGCTTTTTTTTTTGGGACATCAAAACATTGTGAAAAATCGCTCATTGTGCATTTATCAACAATGTGTGCTAGAGAAATCTCATCACTATGCAATTTTCCAGCGGCTATGAGTGATACCCAAGGTGCCTTTTTGTGTGTGTGTGTGAGAGAGTGTTGTGCTTCAATTAGCATGACCAAGAGGTTCACGATATTCCAGTAGAAAAATCCAGCGCAATTCGTTGGAGTGGCCATGGTTGCGCATGCGTTGAATAGTTAGTGACTTTTTCTATATCACACAACTCTCGTGCTGGACTATCTCTAATCGAATGTTTGACGGGCATTCCGGCTTGTGAGAACTCGGGTCGGTCGGTCCTCCATTTATCGAACCGGATGTATGGAAAATGAGGCCATCTTCACAACCTTCTCACTTCTATCTCTATGGTGGAATAAGGTAAGGCGGTTCACTTGAGTTGCTCAACCGTCCCTTGTCCGATGCTCATGAGCTTATTCATCGCAATTTGTAGATTAAGGTAATTGTTCCTCCATATTTTCACTTATCGTTTCCGATATTCTTAAGATTATTTGTGTCGTCTTTACCTAGGTGCTTTCCAGCCATTTTCGGCCCCCCAAACCATTTTCGGCCCCCCAAACACCACCTCTCTTAGGCGTACTAGTTGCTATTAGTCTACGACTTTGAGATTACCCATTTTCCAACCATTATTTTTGTTGATTAACATGATTTTAAGAGATTTGATTATATTTAGGAGATTGTTAATTTTCGCATGATTTCAAGAGATTTGATTTGATTACTGGATTGATAGTATAAATTTATTTTATTTCCTTAATTAACATTATGAGCTTTGTATATATTCCCTTGCTCATGAGACGTAAACAAACACAAAAACACTAGGTATTAGAGTCATTGTTGCCTTTTTGAGGTGAATTATCTCCCTCACAACACTAGGGTTTCATTTTTATCAAAGAGGTTGAATTTTCTCTCTTTTGATGACTGTTCGCAACACAAACTCCTTCTAATTAGTTTTAATTATGTACAATCAGGTACTACCTTTGCCTACTAGTTTTAATTTTTCTGTTCGCTAGAGTTAAGGTTCCGTCGAGAAAGATTTGATTTTCGGCGAGACAGAACGTTTCTGAGCAATTTTCTTCAGATTTCTTTCTAAGTAGGTAGAAAACATGGAGACATTTAAGGAGACAATTTCTGGAGAAATCTTATCTTCAGATGAAATGCAGCTTCTTCGTCGCCTCATAGCCAAACTTGACTGTTAATATTGCTACATCCAATTATATACAATCAAGTACTGCCTTTGCTGCTCACCTTAATCCAAGTGTTGATTCTTGTGCAAGTAGACATATGACATGCTCTTCTAAAGGCATTAGAAACTATTCTTCGTGTCTCAAAGAAGATAATGTTAAAATAGATTCTTTAACATTATCTCTGGAATAGATTCTGTCAAGTAGACACATGACATGTTCCAATGGTTTTTTAACACCTATCTCTGGAATAGATTCTGTCGTTTGTACTCCTAATATTAAACTATCATCCATACTCCATGTCCTTGAGTTCATTTTCAATCTTTTATCTGTTAGTGCCATTAGCAAAGCTCTAAACTATAAAATCGAGTTCTCTCACGATCATTGTATTTTTTAGGATCTTCAAACAGGGTAAATGATTGGCAGTGGTAGATCGCGTGATGACTTGAATTATATTAGATGGAATTCAAAATTTTGGTCAAGCCTTTTTTGGGAAAGTAAGGATGTCTACCAAGAAATAATAGAGGGCATAGACGGTTAGGACACCCATCATTCTTTATTTTGAAGAAGTTATATCCCGATTTCTTTTCAAGGACATAATTTGAATATTTGATTTTGCGATACATGTGAATATGGCCAGCATACTAGAAACACTTATTCTGTGAGTGATAATAAAAGCACAACTCCGTTTATGACTATTCATTCTAAATATGGGATCCTAGTGTTATTAAAAGCGCTTGCTTCTCGCTTTAAGCACTGAAGCGACGCGAGGCGCAGGGCTATCGCTTTTCTGCTACAAAAGCGACTCACATTTAAAAAGCACTTGCTTCTCGCGCTTAAGCGAGAAGCGCCTCGATGAAAAAGCGATAAAAAAGCGTGCTTAAGCGAGCAGAAGGCAGCTAGTTTTTTTTTAAAAAATTTTGGCAAATAAGCCATCTGTTAACAAATAAACTTGCGCTCTTCAACGACTTCTTCTCCAGCGAACTCCAGCGACGGCGAAGTCTCCAGTTCTCGGTAAGTTTCTTCAACGACTTCTTCTTCTTTCAATTTTTTCACTTTTTAAGTGCTGATTTTGTGCCCTAAACGACTTCTTCTTCTGTTCTACTTTGTGCTCTGTTTTATGCTTTATGCTCTGTTTTCTGGTTCGTGTGAATTAACTGTTATGTTTTTTTTGGTTGTTGATTGTAGTAAATTAAATTTGATTATTCAATGGCATCAAGCCAAAAAAAGAGTTCTTAATATGCTTAATATGTTATTTTTAATGAGTTCTTAGCCATTTATCTTTTGCCTATTTTTTTTTAATTTATGTGTTAAATTGCGCTTCACATGAAAAAAGTGCGCGCTTCGCTTCACGCTTCTCGCTTCGGTGAAGCGAGGCCTCGTTGCTTTTTTGCGCTTAACGCTTTCCAAAACACTGGGTCCTACTCAAATTATTTCTTTGTTTGGTAGTCGATGGTTTTTTACTTTCATTGATTGCTGCACTAGGATGACTTAAGTGTATTTGTTAAAAGATAAAAGTGAAGTTTTCTCTTGCTTTCAGTCATTTCATAAAATAATTTGTACTTAGTTTGATGCCAAAATAAAACTCTTGAGATCTGACAATGGCATCGAATACATGGATAAATGATTTGGTGCTTAGGTGGAGTCTAATGGGACAATCCATCAGACTATTTGTCCTTGCACTAGGGCATAAAATGGGGTTGCTGAAAGAAAACATATGCATTTGTTAGAAGGAGCAAGATCTCGTATGTTTAACATGCATCTATCATGCTATTCTAGTGGTTGTTTATCTTATCAATAAAATGCCACTTAAAATTATTATTTTTCATAGTCCTCTAGAAGCTTTAAAAGGTAAGAATGAATATACTATTCCTCCAAAGGTGTTTGAGTGTGCTTTCTTTGTCCACACTAGAAATTCTGGGAAACTTGATCCTAGAACACAGAAATGTTTCAAATGTTATCATCCTGCCTCTAGCAGATCTTTTGTTAGCATGTATGTTACCTCTCGAGAATTTGAGCCTTATTTCAGTATTACCTTATCACCTCTTCATGAGGAGAGCAGTAAGGAGGAAAAGGTGATTCTACCTAGTTTTATTACTGGACTAATTGATGACATTGTCATAGAGTGAAATTGGAGAAAGAATTCAGGAGGAGACTATTGGACGTTTGGATAAGCTTGATTTGAAAACTTACTCAAGGAGAAATAGAGCAGAAAAAGCCATCATGCAATCTACTGAAGCTGAATCTTCTTCTACTGGTGAGTTATCTACATTTCCTAATGAGTTAGATATGCCTATTGTTCACAGAAAAAGAGTCAAATCTTGCACCACCAAATACCTTTATCTAATTTTGTCTCCTATAATTTTTTATCTCCCTCCTATAGAGTTTTTGGCCGTTCTATTTCTTTTGTGTCTATTCCCTAGAACTGGAAGGCAACTTTTGCAGATCCTAAGTAGAAGCAAGCTATGATTGAAGAAATGAAGGTCTTGTAAAACATGAGACTTGGGAACTTGTCACTTCACCACCAGACAAGAAGTTGGTTAGCTGCAAATGAGTCTTCACTGTGAAGCACAAAGTTGATGGCTCGATTGAAAGATTCAAAGCAAGATTGGTGGCTAAGGGATTCACTCAGACTTATAGAGTGGATTATCAAGAGACATTTCCCTATATCACTAAGATGAACACTATTGGATATTTTTTTGTCTTGTGCAGCTAATCTTGGTTGAGACTTTCAACAGTTTCATGTAAATAATGCATTTCTTCGTGGAGATGTAGAAGAAGAAATATATGTGGAGATTTCTCCTTGATTAGATATTGCCCAAAGTCAAGGAATGGTATGTAGATTAAAGAAAACTTTGTACGAACTGAAGCAATCCGCAAAGCTTGATTTGACTAATTTTGCAAAGCAATAATCTCCTTTGGTTACGAACAAAGCATTGCTGATCACACCCTCTTCATAAGACATCAAACGTGTAAGCTCACTCTTCTCATAGTTTATTTTTATGACATAGTAACGATGGGAGATGGCAAAGAGGAGATGACCAATTGAAGAAGTTGCTGGCACATGAATTTGAGATCAAAGATCTAGGGAAATTGCAGTACTTCTTGGGAATTGAGGTTGCTAGATCAAAAAGAGCAATCTTTATTTCTCAAAGGAAGTATATTCTGGATCTCTTGAAAGAAACTTGTATTACAAGTTGCAGACCCGCATAATTTCTCATTGAAAGTAATCACGAGTTACAAAGCGGAGTTGGAGAGTCAGTTGACCAATCGCTCATTGCCCCTGAGTTCTATCTTGAATCGAGCAGTACCAAACAATAATAAGAATTGACAAATAAGTGTATTAGTTGTTAAGTAAAACATTATGAGTGAATTTGTTTATCTTTTTTCTTGAATTACATATATATATATTTTTTCCCTTCATTTTTTTACTAAAGCCCACATTTTAATTGCGTTTTGCGCTTAAAGCCCTAATAGACCTAAAACGCTTTTTAGAGCTTTTCGCTTTTGACAACACTGAGATCAAGTGCAGAGGCAGAATATGGTGCTATGACCCAAGGTGTTTGTGAATTGCTTTGGCCACAAAAACTACTAGAGGAATTGAGATTGTCTGAAAAAAGAAAACTTTTCTTGTATCGTGACATTAAGGCTGCCATTAGTATAATTCATAATCCAGTCCAACATGACCGAACAAAGCATGTAGAAATTTTTCAACACTTCATCAAAGAAAAAATGACAACTGGTGTCTTAGTTTGTTTTATGTGCCATCGGAAAAACAACTAGCTGATGTGTTTGCGAAAGATCTCAACTAGCGAACTTTTCATATGTTAAGTTGCAAGTTGGGCATGTGTGACATTTTAGCACCAACTGGAGAGGGAGTGTTGATTAGCGTGATTTCAGGAGATTCGACTATATTTAAGAGATTGTTGATTAGCATAATTTTAGAAAATTTGATTAAATTTGATTTGGTAGTTGGATTGATTGTATAGATTTTTTTCATTTCCTTGATTAACATTAGGAGCTTTGTATAAATTCCTTGCTCATGGGATGTAAACACACATAAAAATACAAAAAGCCTTCTTCTTCTCAAAATCTACAATTCTTTCGTTCTCTAACATATTGGAGGTGGAAATGAACCATTGTACTTGTTAAGTTATTAGTAAGTTTCATTGCTCCTGACCAGTGATTAAAAAAGCGCTTGCTTCCTCGCTTAAAGCGAGAAGCGAGGCGAAGCGTGAAGGGCAGCGCTTTAGGTAGGTGAAGCGACTCAGGTAAGAAAAAACGACCGCTTCTTTGTAAAAAGCGAGAAGCGGTGAAGCGAGAAGAAACGTTAGAAGCGTCCGCTTCTCTGTTTAAAATACCCAACCCCTATTTTATTAAAAGCGAGGTTTTAAACACTGTCTGGACTTCTTCAATAGCAGCGAGACTAGGGTTGTTCTTCAACAACAACAGCGATTTTTTCTTCTCTTCTTCATCTACTTCTGATTTCTGAAATAATCTCAGAGCATCAACTAGTGTTGTTCTTCTTCTTCTTCAACAATACATCAGCGACTTTTTCTGATTTTCAACAGGTATGTTCTGCACTTTTGATTTCCATTCTTCTTCTTTTTCTTTTTCTTTCTAAACGTTCAAAAAGCAGCGAAATGCTGGCAAATTTTTTTTTACCTTCGGTTGTTTCTCAGAAAATTTCTGCCCAATTTTTATATCCTTTATTCTTATTCTTATTGCCTTTCTTATGTGTTATGTAGTTGTTCTTTTAATGGCGCCAAAAGAAGATAGGAAAGACTCAGGTTGGGCTTACTCTTCAAGAGTTAGCGAGACCAACAAGATGGCCATTAGATGTCTTTTTTGTGATAAGATTTCAAATGGGGGAATCTATCGTCAAAAAGTGCATCTAATCGGTGTGATCCAAATGTCGTATTTTGTCCTAAAGTTTCGGGGCATGTGAAGGAAGAATTGAAAGCATACCTTAAAAAAGAGAGGTAAAGACTCGAATAATTCATGAACAAGAACTTTATAATTTTGATGATGACGATGATGAAACAGAAGAAGGTGACGATGCTTCGTCGCTTCCACCAAAATCACAAAAGCGGGGAAGGATGCTTCCACCAATGTCTTCTAGTTGTGGATCTACTGGCAAGACCAAAGGTCCTATGGATTGTTATTTCCCGCCAAAATTTGGAGATAAGGGAGGAAAAAGTGACAATCCTCAAATTGATGCCAAAGCGATTTTGAGGGATCGTACAGTTATAAAGTTTGCACGGTGGATGTATGATGCAGGTCTTCCTTTTAATTGTGTTAATTATACTGACACTTTTTCTGCTTTTATTGAAGTCGTTGGCCAATATGGTCCAGGAGTGAAACCTCCAACTTATTATGAAGTTAGAGGGCCATATCTAAAAAAAGAGGTGGCAGAGGTGAACAAAATCGTGGAGGACCACAAAGTAGAATGAAACAAGTTTGACTGTTCCATTATGATGGATAAGTGAACGACGAGAAATGGAAAAATGATCATCAATCTCTTGGTGAATTCTCCTAAGGGAAGCCTGTTTCCTGAGTCCGTTGATGCAAGCGACTCTTCGACGGATTCAACCAAAATGTACTCCTTGTTCAAGAGTACAATAGACTTTATTGGAGCAGAAAATGTTAGTTCAAATTTTCACGGACAACGCCAGTGAAAATGTTAAAGCTGGTGATTTGATGTCTGCTGGGTACCCGCATATCTATTGGACTCCGTATGCAGCACATTCCATTAATTTGATCTTCGGTGACATTTTCAAGGAAAGACCATTTAGTAGTCTTTAATCAGGCAATTAGAGTGCATTCCTATATTGTTCAAAGGCCTTTGTTATTGAATATGATGAAGAGATTCACTAAACAAAGAAGCTTGGTGAAACCTACAAAGACAAGATTTGCTACTACTTTCTTGACTTTGCATAGGATGTATGAGCAAAAAAGCAATTTGAAGAAGTTGTTTGTTTCAGATCAGTACACTAACAGTGCCTATGGAAGGGAAGCTCGAAGGAGAAAATCTGCAGATATTATACTTTCTCCTTCATTCTGGAATAATGTGGTTCATGCATTGAAGATTAGTGGTCCTTTAGTTAAAGTGCTCCATTTGGTGGATGGGGAGCAAAGGCCACCAATAGGCTACCTGTACAAAGCAATAGATAGGGCAAAAGAGGCTATTCTTTTAGTGATCAAAGAAAATATAAAAGAGACTTTGAGCTCATAGATAAAAGGTGGGATAGTAAGCTTCATAGCCCTTTGCATGCAACTGGACTTGTTTTGAAACCGGAATTGTTTTATGACAATGAAGAGAGGATTCTAGAAGATGAACCTTTGTGGAATGGATACTATGAATGTATTGAGAAGTTGATACCTGAAGAATCTGTGCAAGATAAAGTAACAGAGCAATTTAGCATTTATAGGAATGCTGAGCAACTTTTTGGAAAAAACATGGCGATTAGACAAAGAAAGACGAAGTCACCAGGTGAACGAGTGCTTATATGTTGTTTTATAGTTAATAAGTTATTTCTTTATCAATATTATGTTTTGAAAATTTGTTCTACTTCTACAGTTGAATGGTGGAAGCAATATGGTCATTCCACTCCAGATTTACAAAAGTTTGCCATCAAGGTTCTAAGTCTCTAACATGTAGCTCATCCGGGTGTGAAAGGAATTGGAGCGTGTTTGAGCATGTAAGAACTAGGAAGAAAGATTTAGTATATTGAGATAATTAAATTATATCTCAATTGTCCTAATCTTACTAACTACTTATTATTTGCAGATTCATACCAAAAAGAGGAACAAACTAACCTTGAGGCGTCTCAATGATCTAGTCTTCATTAAATACAATAGAATATTGAGGCGTCGTTACAACGCTTGCAATGTAATTGATCCAATTAGTTTGGACAACATCGATGATGCTAACGAATGGATAACTGGAGTTCCGGAAGATCATGTAGATGAAGAAGTATTTGAGGATACTTCTGATTTCACTTGAGGTGATGTTGCGAAGGCGCGTGGAATTGGGGAGAGGATTTATGGTTTGAGGGGGAGTACCTCAACTTCAAGTTCACAGAGGAAGGGAAAAGAGGCAGCTACTTTGTCCCTAGTTAATGAAGAAGAAGTTGAAGAAGATGGCGAACAATATAATAATGATAGTGGAATACAAGAATTTGACAATCTTGTAGAAGAATATGATGCTCATTTTGTGTTTTAATTGATGTTACTCTTTAGTTTTTTAATTGAAGTATTGAATATTTGCTTACAATTACATGTGTTGTCTATGTAGTATTTATTTTATTTTATTTTTAATTCCGCTTCACTTACAAAAAGCGAGCGCTTCGCTTCTCGCTTCACGCTCTTCACAACACTGCTACTGACAATTTTTTAGAAATTAGTCTCTTTTCAATAATTTTTTTTTTGGGCTAGGTTCCTATATAGTTCTTTAATAAGTCCATTCTCTCTCATTCTTAGTGACATTTTTCTTTGATTTGTCGTTTCCTTTCCAATTGGTCAGCTTTATTTTGAGCTCTCTTAATTTTAACAACTATACAATTTGCATATTGTAATCATGGTTCCAAGAATATGGCGTTTGGACATTGAATTCCTCAAACTTTGTTTTGTGAGGATTTCGGTGGGATGTTTCGTTTAAAGAATATCGCATTTGGACAACGTCCTTCAAGGTTCTTTGTTAAGTTTTGGAATTGGAAAAGGCATGTAAACCCTCTTGAAATTGTCTCCTATTTGCAATTACACATTTTTTCTTTACGGGGTCCTATGACCCGCTTGGACTATTTTAAAGTGAAATTATTTACCCCTTAAATGTCGAGGTGGCAAAGAGTGAAATACACTCTTCATGAGAGAGTGAGAAGCAAATATATATACCTCACAGCCACCCCCACCTACACATCCCCAACATCTGCCATGGCTTCCGGATACCTATCATCAAAATATAACCCAACTAGCAAAAGGAACAATCCAGCTAGAAAAATTTCTTCCGCCAGTAGGCCTTCGCTAAAATATTTCTCCGGCCACAGTAAAGCTTATTTCCTTCCTCTTTTTGTTTTTTCTTCAACTTTCTTTCGAGTCTCAAAAATCTAACTAATGCTATTTTGTCCTACAAAATCAAACCAAAACGCTATTTTTCTTGGGGTGTGTTTGGTATGATGGAATATGTTTTCCACGAAAAATATTTTGCTAAAAAATATTTTCCTGGAAAACAAGTGGCTTTCTTACTTATTTCCTAGTGTTTGGTTAATAAGGAAAAAATATATTCTAAAGAGCACCTTATATAGTTTAGGCAAGCACTATAATCCTGGACTCACACCTTAGACCTCAACATCTGACCCCCGACCCCGACCCTTAACTCAAACGTCGAACCCAACCACAATCCCCTACCTAAACCCGAAAACCAACCTGAACTCGTCCCGAGCTTGGACCCTGGCATTGAACCCTGATCACGATCCCTAACCCCAACACCCAATTTTGACCACGATCCTTAATTTGATTCTAGATCCACACCCTTATCCCTATCCCTAATAGCGATCACAATCCCTAACTCTGACCTGAACCTCGCTCTCTGCCTCGATCCCTAATCTCGGTCACGATCCTTGACCTTGATTGTAGACCCCCAACCTGAACCGAACCTCGATCGTGGGCCTCGACCTTGAACTGTACCTCGATAGTGGATCTTGACCCCAACCTGGCCTCGACGTCAAACCTCAACCCTTACCATGGTCCTCAACCGCAACCCCGATCCTAGAGTCGAACACGAACATCGACACCCAACTTTGGTAGCTGACCCCAAACTTGACCTTGTCCCGACACCCGGTCCCTTATTTTGACAATGTCCCCCCCCCCCCCCCCC